GATGTTAAATGATAATACTCCCAATGATAATATATCCAACATTAACTCATCTAACTTTGCTTTAGCACTTTCGGCTAATTCAGGTGCAGATCATCATGAAAAATCACCATAGAAGAAGAGATGGATAAGAAAAGCATTGGTGAAGATATTAGGCAATGCAATAAAGAGAAGAAAATTCAGTGTGAGTCAACCGTCCCTTCTGACTTATTATGTGTTACAGAAACTTCTCTAAGAAATCATGATGAAAACAAAAGTAACACAAAATCATGAACATTGTTCACGATCAAGAAAAGATTTCATTGGAAGACTCTGTGCAAAAAATATCTGAAAGACTTAATGAGGATGTTTTCCAGAGAGAATCGGATTCAGGCTTAGTAACTGAAATTGTACGAAACTTATTACAAGGATTTCTGGTGGATGATTTCTAGAGAGAATTTATTAATACCGAATTTATTGATAGAGAGCATTCTAATTCTTCACCTGTCACAGAAGAGCTTGCCTGTTTATTTCATCAAGCGAGTATAACAAGGAAAAATTCGATTAAAGCTAAGCAGAAAGAGATTTCATCTTGGGGTCGCTACTCTGAAAGATTTGAAGATAAGGTCATGAAGCTCAGATCCAAGGATAAAAATCTTAAGGATAAGACAGCAAGGTCTCAGATTTATAATGAAATGAAACCATACCTTTCAGACGTTTCTGATAAATATTTGCGTAAGATAACAAGCAAAGCAAGAAAGATCAATAAGCTATTTGGATATGATTATGATCCTATAACTCTGAAAAAGATTAAAGGTATAGGATGGCATATGGTTAATCGAGTTACCTATAGTGCTGACAGTATTTTCAGACTCACTAACCTTCAAATTCAATACATTATAGATCAAGTGAACTTAACTGTCACCAATAAAACTGTGAACAATGTTCACGATCAGAGTTATGTGACTTTAAAAACGGTTAGCTTAGCTAACCATCAGATTAAGGCTAAGGTAAGTACATCGGCAAATATATTACTTTCACCTCAATCCAAAAGTCCACTCCATGACCGCTCCTATTTTCGTAACAAAACGTTGGACCAATATCCTACTTTATATAGAGAATTTAGTAGTGAAAATTTCGATTATTATGGCATTACTGATGAGATATCATGCCTATTATGCAGTTTAGATCATGATGACGAGGAAAGTATAGAAGGTATGTATAAATCTGGATCTTACTTTATTAAATGTAAACAACGTGAAATTGAGATAACTGCATAGTCTCATTACCCCTTTCTTATATCATAGATACTTCGAAAGATGATCCCGCCCTCTGGGTCTCTAACTATTTTTTTGGAATATGATAAAAGATATTAGACAGCTTTCTATCTGGGAATTTTAATCTTTTTTCGAACTAAAGAGAAAAAAGGGATTTAAATTGATCTGTGATCATAGAAAAAAGGAAACATGAGCGAATCCAATAAAATATTAACTCCCAAATACCTGGATTGGCATGCCAAATTAACTGGGTTACTAAGTGTTTTGACAGATAGGATTCGGTCCAGCTTATATAAAAAATATAAAAAAGAAACTGGGCATGAGCTATGGCAATTATCAGAAGATCGCCTTCTCATAAATTCGAAGTCAGAAAACAAAGTATCCTATTTATCTTCTTCTGAGCAATGTGAAGAAGAAGGGCCTATCACTTTCGAAGCCAGACCCACTCCAGAATGAATTATCAAATCCATCTTAGAGCACTTCCCATACTTGAAATTCCGAAATAGTTTTAGAGGAATTGATAATTATAATTTTGCATCACCTCAGCCGTGGAGCTCACCATGTCCTATTTGTGATGGAAAACATGGGAATTACGGATTACATGGCGAATGGTATGGAACAGAATATTGTCTTACTTGCTTCACTTCAAGCAATAAATTCAAATTCGCGATCGTAGCATAGGCCAGTCATGTGAGATCAATCATCTGAAAAAATGCATAGTACGATATCTAGATATTTTTTTTCCAAATAAGTAAGTGATGCAACATTCACGACGTACTGCAGTATGAAAGAGTGCCGGCAAAAAAAAATACTGAGAAGAAACTTCTGGACAAGACATTATGCAGTTAAGGTGAGTTTACTTTCAGTTATATTGGGTATTTGCAAGGAAGCAACAAGCTAATAGACAATTTTTTCATTAGGATTTTGAGAATAATATTAGCATCACAGAAGGGGAAGCGGTATAATGCTTCAATTTTTTATCATTTTAAATAGCTAGTTGAAGTAGCATCATGTAGCAGTCTTTGATTTGTATTATGTATTTTTTTCTCGTATGATCAATAAAGCAAAGATGCAATTAATTTACAAAATTCAGATATACAATGGAGGGATTGTGGAAGCGTGTATGCTAATATATTTTTTCAATCAAGTTTTATTGTAACGAAATCATTGATTTAGAACTTAATAAATGCGCACAGTATAGACGTCACATGTATCACGGGAACAAGTAGTTGCGCAAAATAATTTATTCTCAAACTTTCTCGCATATTCTCAAAATTCTTAGGTATATTATTATTAAAAAAGGGGCCCTTGATGATCTTTACATATGGATAGTGTTAAATTAAGGAGAGGAGGTTGATCAGATTTTCGTGATGCGATCATATTAACGTAATTTACCCCAAAAGCGTATTCCAAAATCGATCCTGGAAATTATATAAAAAGGTGAAGTCTTAGTTAGTAAACTCTTTTATCCGCCTTGTGCAAGTAAAACAAAAAAATAACAAACGAAACTAATCAAATTTACCGTTATATTCATCATTAATATCCACAATCAATCAAACGAGTATATTCCGCAAAATAATAATAAGGTGGGTTTGATTATTGATTGGCTAGATTCCGGAAGAACGTCATCACGATATTAATCGATTTTCCCACCTATATAGATGCTCAAAAATAAAACGGACATATTACCTTTCTTGATCCTTTTAATAATTTTATTCCGACACGTGATAACTAACCAATCGTTATTGCAGATTTATTGACTTTATCGTGATGGAATTTGTAAGAATTCCATAGTAACCGGTAAATTGTCAATCTTTTTGATCATTTTTGGCCAAAATTATTGTCGTGTCACTATCGCAACTTAGATCAGCCTGCATTAAGATGTGAGCCGGCTAGAATTATCAAATGTTTCTTACTATAATTGGTAATTTTTTATCGGAATAAAATCGGAATTTTTCCCGTTATCGTGATAAAAATTTGTGATTTGATATCGGAATAATTCCGGGTCTCTGCCCTAGTATAAAAATTAAACTTAAATTATATCAAAAATATATGGCTATTTTAAAGAAAAAGTCAAGATAAAGATTAAAAATTGGTTGCAAAAGCATAAAATTTCTTATAAGTTTTTCTTAATATAATCTAATCAGAATAAAATAATCTTAATAAAACAATCAACTTTGATATAGCAAAGTTGCCATTTCAGATATCAAATTCATTATAATCTTATAAAAAGAATTTGATTAGTAACTTTGAACAAGGAATTTTTAATATATTTTATTGATTAAATGTCTTATGATAAATAAAATTTCATTATATTATGAATTTTTTATATCAATGTTAACTGTACTGCATTATTTAAATATTTTCAAATTAAATTAAACATAAATTAATGTAAAATAAGATTATATTCCTTAAATTATTTAATATACAAATTTACCTACTTTTAAAAAAAAAGTATTAATTCTTAATAAAATATTAAAATTAATTTTTTAATAATATAATAATTATATGAAAAATATAGTTTAATTTATATTTAATCAACTTTATTAAAAGAAATTAAAATTAATTAGAAAGTTTTTTAAATAATTTAATTTTAAAATTAAGGTAAAAATTTTTTATAATAATTTTTTAAAATTTCTTAAAAATTAATACATTTATAAACTGATTAAATTATTTTACTACTAATAAAATTATAATTATAATTATTCTTTATGATAAATTTTATAATATTATATTATTATAATTAATATTGCTAAAAATAAATTTTAATAAGCTTTTCAAAGGTTAATAATAAAATTTTTTAAAATTATAAATTTTAGCTTATAAATAACTTTAAATTTTTTTATTATATAATTAAAAATAAAAAATTTCTAAATATAATTATTTTTTAAAAGTAATATTAATTAATATATATATTATAAAACCTATTTATTTAATAAATTATATTTACTAGTTTTTAAAAAAAAATACTTTACTTTTAATTTTAAAATTAAAATATTTTAATTTTAAACTGTAATTTTAATTTTATATATAACTTTAAAAATAAATAAATCTATAATAATTCTTTATTACTTGTTAAATTTTTTTAATAAAAGAAATTTGATAATAGTTTTTATTAAATTCAATAAATTAAATTTTATCAATATTATATTTATTTTAAATTATATATATTTTATACTATTATTTTAAATTTTATATATTAAGTCTATAATATAAAATAAATAATTATAAAAAAAATAAAATATATATTAAATAATATAAAAATATTTCACATATATAATATTACTTTTATAATTATTATTTTATAAAGTTTTATTCTACTTATAATTATTAAGATTGTATAAAATTAGACTCCTTAATAAGATATTTATAATATTTATAATATTAAATATACTGAAATCTAAAAGATCTATATAATTAGGATATATGATATAGCAAATGATTTGCAAATAATTAGTATAATATAAAAAATCTACAAAATAAGTTAATAAATGATCAATCTAAAAGTGATATAGATATTAAATTAATTAATTAATAAAAAAAAAATAATATCATTATTAATTATAATAATATTTATAATAAGTCTTAATTAAGGGTAGAGTGTATTTGTCAATCAGATCATATAAATAATAAACTAAAAATTTTAGGATCAGATGATGGTACATATTATCGGATAAGTTGTTAGCTTAATGCGTTATCCAATCAAAATCATTTATTTTATTAGATTAAAAAATTTTTTTTAAGAAATTATTTTTGTCGATTTTTGATACTATAAAACCAACTTCCTATGCTTGCCCTTTCAATAGCATTTTTCGTTATACCTGTGTAAATAAGATTACAATTCATTTGAGAAGTAGGAGTTGATTTATTAAGTTTGAAATGAACTTTGACTAAACCACGAATAACAAGATCTTTAAATAAGTATGCAACTTCTTCTTGTCTTTTAAGAATACGGTTGTAATCTTCTTTATAAACATCTAATTAATTTAGTTTTTTCTTTATAATTGACGCATTTTTTGATCTGCAAAAAACTTGAACAATATCATCACGAGTTGTATTTTCATTATTATTTTTCATATAATTAGTAACTGCATTAACCACTTGCAATAGATATAAAACATCTTGGCGAACATCTTGAATTATTGGACAGTGGTTTTGACGATGTAAATAGTTATCACACCTTTCACAAGGTAAGATTTCTTCATCACTAGCCCAAGAATAGTATTGCATAAGTAATTTTTGACGGCATTCATATTGTGATTCACAAAAGAACATTACTTCTAAAATTTTTTTTTGTCTTTCTTCAAGATACTCTTGATATTCCGTATTTTGAACTATATCATTTGTTGAACTGAATTGAACAAAATGAAATAATATTAGTATAGGATTAATATTAAAAAAAAAAATGAAAAAAAAATGGCCAAAAACCCTTCTTGTTCACCTGCAACAATTCCATATACAGTTTTAATATCTTGTCGTGAGTAATAAACGATATGTTTTGCTTCTCTTCTATCACGTCCTGCCCTTCCAGCTTCTTGAATAAGATTTCCTAAAAATAAAGTGTTAATAATTATTATAAACTATTTGAGTTTCAATAAATAAATAATATGATAATTACCTAAACTGAGTGGAAAAGTATAATGAATTACTAAGCGAATATTGGACATATTGATTCCTAATCCAAAAGCATTTGTTGCAATCATGACCTGAGTTAAACCTGCTTTCCAACGTGTAATTGATTGATGTCTTACTGCACTTTTCAATTTATCATGATATATATCCAAAGAAGTAGATTCAAGTTTAATTCTAATTAATTCTAATACTTCTTTACAACTTGTTGGTGAAGCACAATATATAATACAGTGTTTATTTCTAATTTTTTAAATTTGCTCACAAATTTCGTTAATATTTCTTTCCTTAGAACTTTTAGCTTGAACTTCAAAGGTAATTTCAGAACGAATAAAAGAAGAACTCCTGATAATATTAAGATTGCTAACTTCAATACTCATAATTGATTGTATCTTTCAGGCTTCATTAGTTAAACATGTAGCAGTGAGCATCATATGAGGAGATAAAGGAAACAATTTCTTGAGTAAACCCAAATTTTTCCATGCTTTTCTATAATAAAAAGGTAAATAAAAATAAAGATAAACATTTTATGATCAATTAAAAAATTTTTAAAGATACTAAATTATTTTATTACTTACTGAAAATATTCTTGTTCAATTATATAATGTACTTCATCTACCACAAAATGAATTGGTCTTATCTGACTAATTCTCACAAGCATTGAACGAAAAGCATAATTTTTATGAAATTTCTCAGGAGTTATAAATAAAACACGTAAAAAACCAGCTGCAATCTCGCCAAATACTTTTTCTTGATAATTGGATGGATTACTTGTAGATGTATATAATCCAGCACATGGAATTCTAATATTAATAAGCTCTCTAATCTGATCATCAATTAACGCTTTTAATGGTATAAAAACAACAGTGAGTCCTTCACTAATTAAAGCAGATGTTGCCCAACACAATGTTTTACCACTACCAGTAGGTAAAATCACTAGAGTATTTTTTTCATTGATAAAAGATATGATTGATTCATATTGTTTTTCACGATAACCAGAAAACCCAAACACTTTATTAACTACCATATCAATTTTCTTTTCAACAGAAATTTCAGTATTTGAAATCTCAAATGGTGGAATATATTTTTGATTTGGAAATCAGTTTTAAAATCCAGAATAGAAGTAAAAATGACACACTTTACACAGACCAGTTGAAGAATATTTTGAAAAAGAAAGGCAAGCGTGACATTTAAGCAGAAACATAAAATCATGAATAAGGTGAGAAAATGATGGAATAAATTCTTGAGTTTCAATTTTGAGTTTAACATTTTTTCCATAAGGTATTAAATCCTATTAATAAATAATTTATTTAGGTTAAGGAAAAAACATGATTAATAAAGAAATATAATTAATAAAAATAAATAAATACTTGATCAAAATCAAATGTTTCCGTTTGATTTTTCTGTTCTTCAATTTTTTTTTCCCTTTCTTCATTACGTTGTGTAATTTCCTTTTGATTTTTCTGTCTTTGTTGTTATCTTGTATTTAGTATTTTCTTTAGATTAATGTAATCTTCAGATGAAAGATCAGACACCTCTTCTATAGATCGCAAAGTTTCAATCAGATGATCAATTCCATAGTTATTATGTAGTATAGCACATGCATGTCGAGCTTGATATGACTTATAATAGTCAATTAGTTTATTAGCATAACATAATTTTATTTGGTTAAATGCTTCATTATAAGAGGTACGAATGGTAGTGATAAGGCTTTATTGTGTTAGAAGACAAAATACTTCAATTAATATAGATCGAAAAGAAGCACGTTTAAAGTTATTGTGTTTTAATAAATTTGGTTCAGGTAATTTCAAATCAATATTAGATTTATGCCAACAAAAATCTTCCCAACATAATGAATGATCACCAGAAAGGTGTGCAACTAATCCATTGATTTGTAAATCTAATACTTCTTGATCTTCTGGTGTTTTAATGTCGGAATCTTCTTTTCTTGCACTAGCAGCATATACAACCTGAGTATAATATTTCATTATTACATTTTCATAGTTTTTCCAAACTGCATTCTTTGCTATTAAATAATAAAATAAATAAATATCTAAATAAATATTATAATTAAAAATTTATTTAATACAATTCAAACTAATTTTTTTTCGAATGTTTTTGCCTATATGTTTAAGATCTCCATAAATTTTGTTTACTGAACGAACATTAGATAAGGTTTTATTACTATTCAAATCTTCATCAACACTAATATCTAACATCAAATCATATTTATCTAAACTTGGTTGGATTTTTTCAAGAATTTCGATAAGAATAGCATGTTCTATTTGACGAAATGACTTATCAAAATTACCCTTATAAATAATTTGAGATTCCTCTTGATCTTTTGCTTTTTTGCTTCGTGATTTTTTCACAACATAAAAGGCAATTACAGGATGGTATACGAATTCTAAATTGAATAAATTAATAAATAAAATGTATTGTTATTTAATTAATATATATAAATCAACTACTTACCAAGAAGTTCTTTTTGTAAAATTAATTCTCCACTTGCTTGGTTTGCATTTCTTACATGAGACCAGAATACATCAAAACTTACTGGTAATATTTTTTCTCCTATATTTACAATATAAGAACAAGCAATTTTAAGAGCCTCTTCTGCGCTAATCATTGCAGCATGATGTAATATATCAAAAAATTTTTTTTGATAATTATGATAAGATTTTTTTACGATTTGTGATATAATACCAACTGTTGAAAATATAGTTTCTATCTGTTGACGATTTGCATCACCAGCTAATCCTACACTAGATACCAAAACGCTGAAATTATTTTGATTTGTTTCATTTTTATATTCTGTTATTTTTTTACATTTATTACAAATAATACGAGTCTTAACACCAAAACCTATGCTAAGAACCTCTAATTCTTTATCGTAATTATTATGACAATTTAGACATGGTTGAATAAGAAGTGTCTTCAAATATTGTCTAGTATCAATTAAAATTGTTGATCTGAGTTTAACTTTTGCAATTGCCTCATCTATAATATGCTCCAAATTCTGATTTTCATTAATTGTAGAAGAATCTTCATCATGATTGTTTTGTAAATTTTTATCTTTTTCTATTTTAAGCTGCTTTTTTACACGATATAATTCATTTTTTGTTTCAAAAAATTGGACTGCTAATGCTTGTACGCTCAATTCATTCATTGAAATACCTTCTTGTGATACTGCTATACCTGACATAATATTAATAGCCATCTTAGATGATGATACAGATCCTGTTGAACTTGTGGATGAGATTTCATCTAAAATTGCAACTCCTTTTCTTTTACATGTTCACTTTAACGTAATGCCTTTGTTAATAGCAGCATAATTTCTTTTAGCATCTTTGAATGCTACTGAAAATTTTGCATTAATAATAGAACGAAGAAATTCTATATTATTTTTATCATTAAAGCCTAAAAGATCAAGCATAGATATTCTGCCTTTCCCAGGTAAATATGCAATTAAGCTTGCAAAAAAATCTGGTTTTCGTGACGAATATTGAATATTGGTAAAAATTTTATCATCCCCATAATCCATCCAATAAAAAGTTAAAGAATTATCTATGTTTTTTTCAATTGATAATTAGATAAAAGAAGAATGTGCTTTAGTAAAAATAGTATATCCAGAAAGAATAGGAACCCATGTTCTGTCTTCATATTCAGGTTCACATCTATTAACTTTAATATCCAAGTAACTGTTAGTTGCATAGTTTTCTTCTAGTCCAATTTCAGCATGTAATAAAGGCAAAACTTCATACTTTTTAGTATTGTCTCGAACTAGGATACTTCCATTTTTGCATTTAAACAAATAATACTTATTTGGATTATGTGATAAAAGTCTTTCCGACCAGTAAAGAGTTTTCTAAAAAAAAAAAAAAAATAAGTTTAAGAACAAAATTTTAAACGTGAGAAGCCTTTTTTTTACAATAGAAGTTATCTACCTTCGCTTTTCAGAGTTTGTTTCTAATTGAGATCAGTGTTAGCACATGACATCATATGACTTATATGACTTACATGACTTGTCATAAGTCATTTATCATTTAAATAGATCTTATGACTTATGACTTTGTCATATATTTCATAATTTAGGCCGGCATTATATTTGGCCGGAATTATTAATCAAATCATATCCATAAAAGGGAGTTTAGTTACACAAATACTTAAAATGACAAATTTGGGATTTTAAAAATATTACACAAACTTTCTTGACTTTTGTGTAACGCTACACAATTACCAAATAAGGCGATTTATTATTTATAATTCTGGCCGGAATTAGTTAATCTATATGACTTTATGACTTATGACATTTAGTCATATAACATATGACTATAAAGTCATAAAAATTTTTATATGACTATGTCATATGCCAACACTGATTGAGATAGCATTGACTAACTGAATTGATTTCTTTAATATTGAAGTCAACTTATTACTTTACAAAAAAACACCTTTTGTCTTTACTGAATTACAAAGTTATGAAGTAATTTAGAAGTGAAACGTAAAATTTAATTATGACTAGTGGATTCGCAACTTGCATAAGGTAATTTGCAACTTATTTTTGTCTTTTATTGAAGTTTTTGAACTTGAAGTTCGTTATAAGCACCTATTTTTAAATAATAGGAAAACGTACCAGACTTCAACATGTCAGTTTTATATTTTTAATTTGTTATTTTTTATTAAATTTAAAAGTTTTAATAAATAACGTTCTATTTAAACCCTTGAAAAAAAATTTTAGGTATATGATCTGCAATGTCAATCCCTCTACCCTTAAGAATACTAAAAAAAAAAATTAAAAAAGTTATAATTAAGAAATATAATAATTATATAATAACAATATAATAATAATTTAAATATTTAAAATAATATATTTAATTATAATAATAGGATTATTATATAATAATTAAATAGTAATTATTTTAATATTATAAATAAATAAAATGATTATTATATAGTTTTTTATAAAATATTGGCAATTATCAAAGAAATTTATTATAAATAAATTTTAATCATATAAATAGCAATTATTAAAGTTAATAAAGATTTTGAATAACTTAATAAGAGAAGCTTAATAAAGTTTAGTATTTTTATTTAATTAAGTTAATCATTTATGATAAAATAGCTTAATTTAACTTATTAAATTTTTGAAAAGATAGAGAAATCTTCTTTCTATTATATTTTAAGTATCAGTTTATTTATAATAAAGTGATTATTATAGATAAATCTATTTGTTAAAAAATTAATTATTTATTTTTAAGAAATTTTATATTTATTCCTTTTATTAAAAATCATTTTTATTTATTAGTGATAAAGTAATTTTGTAATAAATAAAATTTTAAGATATTTTATTTATTTATTCTTATTTATTGAATAAATCCTTAAAATATTTTATTATTTATCTTTTAATTTGTGAAGTATTTTAGTAAATATATTCTATATTCATTTTATTTCATTTTGTTTAAATATAAGTTTAAACATTATTTGAGTTTATTATTAAGTCAGTAAAGTTCTCAAATTTTCTGATTTAAAAAACTTAACTTGTGAATAAACATTTTAAATAACTTTGTATAAAATATATAATATTTATTCATTATTATTTTGTGAAATTTATTTTTTATTTAAATCTCTCTCAAATTTATTCAGCAATTAAAGCTAAATTCCACTATTACTCAAATGATTAAATTTTTCAGTCTGCTTAATTAATAATTGAATAATAATACTTAAAAATAGAATTTGATTTTAATTCTAATAATAGTTTAATTAGTTTAATATTATATTATATAATGTATTTACTATTATTAATAATCTTATTTTTAAATTAATCTAATCTGTTAATCACTGTTTAATTACTTTTTTACTATTATAAGAACTCTTATGATATATAATATGAGGCATACTGTAACAAAACCAGACAAAGTGAATATTAGAATTACCAAAGGATTTCAGGGATTAAAATTTAGTTATTTTATAATGTGATTATAATTATTAATAGTTTTATAATATTCTATTTGTTATCTTAAGTGATATATAGAATTATTCCTATATAAATATAATTAATATGAAGTTAATTTACATCAGATCTACTATAGAACCCAAGAATTATAATACAATTAGAAGCATTTTGAAGAAAGAACAAGGTAAGAAAATTGCATTTTATATTTTCAAAATAAATGATACTCAGACACTTGAAACTTATTTAAGAAAAGAAAGAATTACTTATGAAATTTACCAAGAAGAAAGAAAAATAATAAGTATTAAGAAAAGAAAGCAGAATAAAAATGTGTTATTATCCAACAAAAAACAGAAATCTTTAGAAGAAAAATAAATCTGATTATTATATGGTATACCTGTTATTCATCATCAAATAGATTTATCATCATAATTTCTTTTATTCTTTAAAATATCGTTTTTATATTCATCAGCAGCTTTGGTAAAATCTTCATCTTTTAAGTCAAAGATAGTAGTTTTTAACACAGTGGTATTTACTTCATCAACAATCACTTTGTTAACAGCTTATTTCATCAACAATTATTTCATCAACAGTTCATTTTATTAATAATTCATTTTGTTAACAGTTCATTTCAAATATTTTCAAATAATTACATGACAATAAATAGTTAAACAATAGATACAACAGTAAAGTTATGTAAATAGCACAAAGTTAATGTATGTGCTAAGATCACATTGATATGATTTTTATATAAATATCTTTTTAAAAATTTAAAAACAATAACTAATTCAACATGATAAACTAATATTTTTTTTGAAAATGCAAAGGAGGTACTTGTTCTACCAAAAAAAAGGGAATTTTGATATTGTATTTTCTTACTGTTAAAGAAATCAATCAATTCTTTTGAAAATGAGAAAAAAAAAAGAATAAGAACAATTTATAGCTGATTTCTTTATTGTGAAGAAATCAACTTAAAATCTTTTAAAATGAAATAAATAAAAAACTGGATTAATATTGTTTTCTTTTTCTGTAAAAAGAAACCAATCAAAACTTGTTTAATAAGAAAAAAAAGGATAATTTTTATTGTTAAAAAAAACCTGAAAAAAGCTTTATTATTAAAGAAATCAATTAAACTTTTTGTAAAAATAAAAACAATTAATCGAAGATAATAACATTTCCACTGTTGTTTATTAATAATCAAAATTTTTCTAACTTATTTTGTTATAAATCAAATATAATACTAAAAAAAGCAATCAGTTCTTTTTATCATTATTCTATTTTAGAAAATTTCCTGCAGATAGCAAAAGTTTTATAAATCAAATTTTTTTTTTAACAATAAGAAATGAATTGAATTGTTTTTTTTCTTTAACAATAAGAACTGGTTGTAAATTATTTTTTTTTCTTTAGTAAAGATAAAGATCAAGGATCAATATTGTTTAAATGAATTAATTCAATTTCAAATAAGAAAAATATAAAAAATTTGTATAATTAAAAAAAATTGTAAAAAAAGTCAATTGTTAAAACAAAATTATAATTCATCAAACTTGCCAAATTGAAGTAACTCCATAATTAATTAAAATGTATAAATACAACTATAATTCGCAAGACATCAAAATAAATTTTCTTGATTTTTTATTATTATTTACTGATTACTAAACTAATTTCATTTTTACTATATTACTACATTAATTACCTATTGCTATATTTATTATATCATTCATACTGATTTTTTTAAAATGAATAACACTATTTGTGAAGTTATTTCTTCTAATCATAGCTAAGATAAAATCAATGTTGATGGATATATTATGTCTAAAGATAAAAATCACAATAATACATATTATTGGCGTTGTGAAAAACATGATACACTACAGTGCAATAGTCGGGCAATTACCACATTAATTGAAGGATAACACCATCTTAAAAGTGTTTCTGATCATAATCATGTTGCAGAGGTGAGCAGATCCAATGTTATAAGGACTATTAATGCCTTAAAAGAGAGAGGAAGAGAGACTAGCGAACCACCTGCACAAATTATTCAAACTGTAACTACTAGTAGCTCTCACACTCACCCATATCTTCCATCTCGTGATGTACTTCAGCAATCAATTAATCGAACTAGGAGTTTTAGTCTTCCTATAGAACCAGAAACTTTAGATGATCTTGTTATTTTTGATGACTTGACAAAAACTCCAAATGGATCAGTTTTTTGGTTAGAAATTTTGTTATGGACCGAAATAGGATACTGCTCTTTATAACAATCGCTAATATTCAAAATCTGCAACAATCTTCTTTTCTGGATCATGGATAGAACCTTTAAAACTGTTCCGATTCTATTTAGACAGTTATATACAATCCATGGACGTGTTGGCGAAAATGAGAACTCACAATAATACCATTAGTCTAGCATTAATGTCTAGAAAAACAGAAGAATACTATAGGAGTTTATTTCAAATCTTGGTTAATTTTGGTGATATTTTCAATTTATTATTATCCCAATTTGTTTACTTCTTATCCCGCGATATTATATGCTGTAGAAAATTTTATTTGTTGACTATAATTTGCATTGATAATAATTATTGATAAATTAAAACTTTATTTTTTTACTTAGTTAATTCTCTACGTACCTGCTGTTAAGTAAGCTGTCGACGAAATGATTGTTCACGAAATGAATCAGACCCCTGCTGAAACAAAATAGAAAGTTTTTTTTAATTTTTAGAATCCAAATTTGTGGTAGTATCACATGTAATTTCGGTAAACAGTAAAAATATTTAAATTACATAGTAAAGTTGCACAATTTTAATCCCTCATAACTTCTTGGTTTTTTCTAGGTCTAGAAGTCTATATTTAGAAAAGTATCAGCATTTAAAGATTTAGATGATTGGCACTATACTAATAATATGTGGTAATGTCACGTGTTGTGATGAAATGAATGTCACCTCTCACAAAGAAACTATTACTATTACGTGTTGTTTTTTTTAATAGTTTAACTTGTGATACATCTCAACACGCGTTCTTATGGATTTTTACAAACTTTACGAAATCGAAGACTGGACGTGTGCAAAAGTTGTAGAATATTATCGTGCAAACTCAATGCAAAAGGATTGGACAAGTGTACTTGACAAAATAAAAAAGGATCTTCAAATTGTAGCCTCTTCACATAAAGCGTAAAAGAAAAGCTCAAAAAATTATTGATAGCTGGAAGGTATAATAAAGAGTTTTGAGTGGTTTAGGAAAGCTGTGACTGTTAGTCTACAGTGATGAACTGTTAGTTCTTCCTTAAGCGCAAGCTGTGACTGTTAGTCTACAGTGATAAACTGCTAGTTCGACGTTAAAGTGCAAGCTGTGACTGTTAGTCTACAGTGATGAACTGCTAGTTCGACACTTTGTTTTATAAAAGCCACTCTCCTTATAGTGATAGCCCGTTATAATGGAAGTGACTCGTACAATGTTTCTTATGGATACTAATAAACCTACATTTTCGTTTTATTAAGATTTGGACCGATTCGATGAAAGAGAGGAATGATAGTCCACAGTTTAAGATTGGATATCAGAAAGTAAGCTTCAGGTCTGAAAATTTTTACAAATCAAAACACTGAATAAAATTTTCTTCAATTAGGTGAAACAACGAATCCTTGCGACTGGGAATGCTACGACCAATGTAAATGATAATCGTCACACAGGACATTATCGAGATGAAGTTACGGCTCAGGTGAGCTCAAGATTAAAGGCACCTCCTAAATTTATTATATAAATGAAGATAACCTTTTTTTGAAGATCAACCTTTTTTTTTTTTTTTTTGGTACGTATAGGTCGAAGCTACTAGTGTGCAAAAAACTCCCGAAAATCAATTTTACCCACCAATGTTGAGGTAATTATATTTACATTGATGTTTAGTATAAAAATATAAAAAATGTTTTTTAAATAACTTGTATGAACCTTTTTGATGTGTGTTTAGCCATCTCTTTCAAGTACATCATTGATGAGTGAAATATTGTCTGATTCATTAGAACAGGATGAGGAAGATGAACAAAGAAATGGCTTTGATGGAGATGATGAATTCACATTCAAAGACAAAGAATTATTCACATGACGGTAAGAATCTTTTGGTCATGCATAAACCTCAATCTTTGTGAAGTTTATCTAACTGTTGTCTGAATATAGATTTAAAGCTATGACAAATGATAGGAAATGGAAGCTTAGTACAGGGAAATATGTTGAAGATGTTTTATATGATTTGGGAATGAAATGCAAGTATCACAAGTACGTGCTGTATTTTACATTTTGTAATAAATCATTTAGTTGCTAAAGCTTCTAATCAGCTAAATATTTATTGTGTTTCAGTCTTGTACATTCATTTATCATAATCCAAAGGACAATTTTGTCCAAACAGAATTTAATTCAAAGGAAATTAGTGAAATTACAAACAAAGAGTATGGTAATTATACGCCTGATATAGATGAAAATCTCCTAGCTTACATTAATAATTTTGCAAAGGTAGATATAAAAGATATATCGTAACCTATTTCTTTTATAATCTTTTGTACTTAATAACTAAATCAATTCTTTGTAAAGGAATCAACAAATGAGATACGTGAAGTATTAAATGCACAACACCCGAAACTTGGTAAAGATTTTAATATAGCAACTGATTTTCAATATGAACATGTTAGAACAACCATAGCAGATTGGTAAGTAGATGGCAAATTCCCTTTGGTCATAATTTTATTCTCAATAATATAACTTATATATTTTAATTGACCAGGGTTCGTTTATATGAGATGACCCCAAATCCATTATGTATGGAAATGCCAGAAAGCTGGTATCGTATACATGTATGGCGGACCATTGACATAGCTTTTTCAGACTTGCCATATGTCTTTTTAATATGGTAAATAAATGTGACAGTTTATAACTGTTTTTCGTTTAATGTTAATATTTTTTCCTTTTTTTTCTTCTTAATGATATAGTGGCGAAAAAGCATGTTTGGCCACCAGCGAAAGGAAGAATAGGTTAAGAACATTAGACAATTTCGAAAGGATGCAACGTAAAGCAATAGGAAGAAAGGGTGATGGGTATGTTCGTACATTAGGATCAAGGCAACTGGATTGGGCTGCTTCAGAAGCAGGTCGTGAGTGGAGAGGAGAGTCCGGTACAAAACTATTAAAAGAAGGAGGTCTTATTTTACCCAAAACTTTAAAAGACATCTTTCTCGACGAGTGAATTATTGTGAGGATAAAGTTCGTAAAATAAATGTTCCAGGGTTTATCCATTCAGGTTTGTATGGTGATTATACATTATACTAATACGACAAGACTCATTTAGACTCGTCTAACGTTCAATATTTTTACAGGCGCTGTAATGATAAAAACCAATCTTGATTGTCCAGGTGGATACGTATGCAGTATATGATAGAAAAGCCATATGAAGTTTACGCTGATATAAAAAATTTTCCCAGAACATTAGATGTTCTTATATCTGTAATATATGCTAAGGTAGGATTCAACCTTATTATCTTAGATTTCTTTTCCTCATTTCAAAGATACTAATTTTTATTATTCTTCCTTAGCTTGAAATCATTGAAACAATGAAAATTATAAATAATCAAAAAAGTGATGATAATATGCAACGCTGGAAAAATAAAAGAAAAGTAAAAGAAAATAGATATTGACATTCCTGACTGTCACCCGACACCGAAGAAAAAAACAGCACATCGTTAGTTATCTTTTTTATTTGTCCGCAATATTATATCAATTATCGATTATGAGTAAAAATACTTAACAAAGTATAATAGCATATTTACCTAGTCTTTGATCTATAAATACATTTTTTTATGAACAGAAACCCTGATGGCGAACATAAATAGTTGCTAAGTGAAAGATAGTATTATCATTACATGGGGATGCAATTTATCAATTTTATAATTTATGATGGTAGTATAATCATGAATGAATATTATAATAGATAATATTGTTCATGGACAATAGAAGGGACCCAACTACCAAAATTGTGATTTTGAACTGAATTATTTAATTTGTTTAGTAATTTCTTTTTACTATTTTTTTTTTTTTAAAAAAAAAAATTATTTCACATTAATATTTAGAGTTAAAATTAAAGTTAAAATTTTTTATTTATATTTCATAATAATTAAATTTTTTTTTTGATTGGT